AAGTTTTATATAGAGATTGTAGATCTCGTCGTCCTCTACAAGAAAGGTCGTATACAATTTTTCCGTATGTCCAACGGTTTGAGAGTTATTGGCCAAAAACGAAAATTTGGAAGAAATTGAAGGGGTACCCCTTGGAAAAATCTCGGAAAAATCGAAATTTTTTTTTGTTGTTTATTATTAGCAATGTTCTTCCGACGTCTGATTTCTTTTTAAAAAATGCGTTTCTAAAGTGCATAAACTTTTGGGATTGACTGTATAGCCAATACATCCTTAAGCTCGGTTTGGTAACTCGCCCCGGTTCGATGGCTTTCGAATCATTTTTAATATCTTTTATGGCGGTACGAGTTTCTGGTTCCGTTGGAAAGATTGAAGAGTAAATACTTGTATCTTGGCCGATAGTCAGGCGGTAGCGAGGATCGCGATCTCGCGAGTCCCGCGACATTATGCGGACTGACACCCCGGGGGAAATAGGCAAAGTGCACCGTGGTTGAGAAGGAAACAAAAAGTAGAGTACGTTCGTTGTATGTTTCCGCAGGATAATTATCGAAGTAAACTGGCTCGTTGTACATTACCTCGAACACGTATATTCCGTGTTCCGAACGGTGGAGTGAAACGAAATACGCGATAACGTTTAGATCGTTGGCGACTTTGATGCGATCGCGTGATAGAGAAGGATAACGGCATTTATCGTATAAAATTCCTAACGTTATATCGTTATAAAGTATGAAACTTCTCTACCAAAGGATAAATCGTAATGCATTTTCCTTCTGGCATTCGACCAGCGTAAGTATATACCTATTCCCCTGCTTTCCGCGTAACTCTTAAATCGGATCGAGGCAGCTCGATCTCGACATTCCAATTTTCGAAATTAACGGTGGCGTAGCCGATTTTCCTCGGGCAGAACTCGAGAGACCGACTCTCAAGCCGAGGAAATCTACTTTCGTGGAAAAGTCGAGATCCGCGCGCGTTTCGCCTTGACCTTCCTTTAATCGTTTCCTCGTGCTCGTGAAAAGCGCGTCTCAAAGGAATTCGTTTGGAGGGGCTCCGCCGCGCCGGAAGGGGAAGCCGAAAAGAAGGAAAGCAGGTTGGTGAAGTGGAGATCTGAGACTGGAGACCGATGCACAGCATTCGATTTAAGAGCCCCGGTAAGGAAGAGAGGAAAATCTGGCTCCTTTCAAATGTTACCGCGATACATCTCTAACTGTTTTTAATTATTCCAGGGATATAGTGTAAAAGGAATAAATTGAAAAAATAATTTGCCGTTCGTTAAATTTACTCTCTTAACATAGGATAATCAATCAATTCATCATCTCTTGAGCAGCGTACATACATATGTACATACTCGAGGGAGAGTGTCGATTCTTTCCGGGCACGGAGTCAAGTAATTGGTAATAAATCGTAGAAGCTGTGGGCCGGAAAAATCGTAAAATTTTCTCCCAGCTATTCCCATATATTACAGATAAGATGGTTAAGAGAAGTTAGGTTTAGTCGTAAAATCGCGTGTAGTAGAGTGGTTGAGACTACGAGAACTGTGGTAAAGTTAACGGTAATGCGACATCGAAACTCGGGTTGTTAACACATTCAATCTACACACATATATAGAAAAAACAGAAATAAGAAAAATCATTTTTGTTCCATCCCGATATCTCAATCCGTTTCCAAGATACTTTTTTAAAATTTCGGCGTTTCCAAGAGCTTTTTTAAAGTTTCAGTGTTTTGGGCTTCGTGAGGATTCCCGAGTCATTTCTGTTCTTGAAATCTAACACGTATTTTCCTAGAAGCGCGTCAGCTGTCTAGACGGGCTCGGAGGGGAGCAAACCAGTAACTGGGTCAACGTTCCAGCAAGAAGCCCGTGCCGCGCGAGGACAGTGATATTTAGCGACGACGTAAAATTGCGATTGTTCTCACAGGATGATATCTCCGGAACCGGGAATCCGATCAGAATGAATCGAAAAGCATTTTAAAGAGGAAAACTTTCAGTTATTCAGTTATAGGTGTTTGTCGAACAATTATAGACGATCGGAATTTTTACAATATTCTTTCGATAAGTGTAAAAAAGTCCTACAGGACTGTAAAGTTATCTTGAATGGAATCAGTGTAACGATTAATGCGATATCGCACTGTTAAGTTCCGATTAGTGTAAATCGATTTGGAATCAAATATCTCTGTGAGTATCTTTAGGATGAGTGTGACACTTCGGTCCCGACGGCTTTATATTTATCCAGGAAATACTGTATTCTTTTCAATAGATTTCAGTAGATTAGATATGTATATAGTTACCACATCGCGTCAGCGGTAATTTTTCCTACAACTTTTCGAGATCGATGCGTATCTCATTTAGTCGGAGGTGGGAAATTTCTCCGCGTCGACTAATTACAGTTAATCGCTGCTGGCGCAGCGCGCAGTGTCGAAAAATTTCGTCGGGGGAAATATTTATCGTCCGCGAGGGGAGAGGAAGATAAAGCCCCGCGTATTAACGCGTGTCTCGTGTAATTAACGCGACGGTGTCCGCGACAGTTTTTTCGTTTTAAACGACCTCGTTTCGTATCGCGAGGCCAAATGTCCAATGAAAACGAACGTCGAATTTCGGATAGGGAGCAGCGTCGCGTTTAACGCGGCCATGTATCTTTTTTTATTGCGTCCGTTGAGAGGAATCTCGCGGGTCCGAAACCGGGATCGAAGAAAAATCGCGGGAAGATCGCGAAATACTCGCTTTATGAAGATTAGATTGTCTACCTTTCGTATCTCGCGAACAGGCAAATGCAGTTCACACCGAAATCGCGCCCCGTTCCATAAAGAAGAACATCCACAGCGAATAAAGTTACCGATTATGCAACACCGCGCGATAACCCTTCCTCTCTCTCTCTCTCCCGTTCATCCTTCTTTCTTGCGAGCCGCGACAAAGTTTCACCGATTCTGTACCGCAAAAAAGCTCGAGCTTCGTTTCGGGGAAATCGATATCGAATTACGGAATGTCCAAACAAAGTACCGATATAAATATCGGGAATAAGCTGGCAATAAAAACGCGCGATCGGCAAATTTTTTTACTGGCTACATCTCAAAATGCAGGAGCGAAATTCGTCCTCCCGATACCCGCTACTCGGCTCGACGTTTCTCGTTTGAATAATCGGATCTGGTATCGCTCCAGAGAGTTCCGGGAGATCGGTTCGTCCGCGTAAATGGCCTATGTCGTCGATTTTTGCCGATCTCCTTCGAGCGAAGCTGACAATGAAACAGAGCTGGTGCGCGTGGCCGATGAAAGTAAGAGATAAAAGTCGGGGCATTAACATTTAATCGGTAAAGTATACCCGGGCGCAATTTCGCATCGGCGCGATGGTTAGCGTTTTCGACGTTTCGATTGAATTGCAAATCCTCGGCCGGGAAATGCAGCGCCGGCGACTTATATCGTGGCCAACTCCGACTTGACTCTGCGTCCGTTCTTGCCCCGTCGCTGTTAAGAAGCGAGACGAGGACGGGTATACGCGGGTCGCGGAAGACCGCGGACAAAAAGAGAAACGGGACCGCTCCCAAAAGTTTGTCGACGAAAATCGAACAAACATCGGGGAGTCCGTGAATTTCAACTGCACCTGCCGCTTTGTGCGGTGCGCGAAAACGATATCGGCAACCGATACACCGGTCCGGCCTCAAATATAAATTTCAGATGCTCTAACAGGGACCGGGAAAAATGTAAAAAAAAAAAAGGGGAAACGAAACTGAAGGCGGGAAACGAAAAAAATGACCGGTCTAACATTTGGTTTCGCATAGGAATTCGCGGCGAGCGAGAGAGGCGAGCCTCCTCTTCCTTCTTTAAGCATGATTTACAACTAAATGAAAATTCTAGTTTGCGCGGGATCGCTTGCAGTGGATTCGGCTAGTCTAGCCGTATTGTTAAGGATAAGCCGATCTTCTCGATATTCAATTTATACGCCGCAGTGCGTATGATCGATGCGCAGCGTCGATGCAATTCCCATCGAATCTGCATACGGCATACGGCAATATTCCTGGCTTCGAATTTCGATGTATTCATCGAGCGCGCCGAAGTCCGCGTCTATGTATTTGTGCCACGCATTCGGTTGTTCTAGTTACCAAACCGTTTTGTCATCTTTTACCGCTTTAATCGACGCGGCCCGATTCCGATGAGAATCGTACGAATTCTGATAACCATAATATTCTCGTTACAGAGAGTGTAGCCACGTTTAATAGAAACGAACGACGGTGGAGTACCCCTCGTCTGGGAAGAAGCTACCGGTCGAAGGACGGCAGGGAAAAGTGGCTGCGCAGAGCCGGAGGGGAAGAAATAATCTTTTAAGGCGACCCGAAGAAGTTGCCGCAGTTATAAACAGAAATTTAGATCCAGTTGCCAAAGTAAACACCGGAACGTTGGTAGTTTGGCGCTTCCTCCGCCCACTCGCCACTCTGGGACGCTTGATCCTCCGTATCCCTCTCCCCTTCTTCCGGGTCCTTTACCTAAGCGGAGGACCTCCATCCCTGCCGCGCATCGCGTCGCGTACCGTTCCTCCGAACGTAGAACTTTTCACTTAGCTCCCTTCGTCGATAAAAAGTTGCCTGATCTAATAATTTACCCGGCGACACCCCACCGATGGTGACTGCACCTTTTCAACCTGTCCCTGTTCTTTACCGATTCATTATTCCCGTTCGATCGCCAACTTTTAACGACGATTTCGCGGTAAACGAAGAAATCGCGATTTGAACGGTCTTCGAAACTCACTGAACTTCGTCGAGGTTTAGTATTATAATTTCGTACTCACCGCCTGTTACGCGACAGGTCAAAGAAGGGGTGTCACCCTCCTCGTAGGGTCCGGCCGTCCCGTTCACTATTCTGCCCCACTGGTCTAAAATGGTCGGCTGCTCCGGTGGCACTGGAATAGAAATACCAAAGTTACACAGCTCGTCCGTTTTTGTTAAAAAATTATCGATGCGGATTTTCGAGCTACACAGTTGCACGAAACAAATTTTGTCGCGTGCAGCTATGATCGCTCGCGGATTAAACGGAACGATATTTTTTTTCCAGGAACATTCGTGCTCCGGTTCAAAGTCGGATAAGCCAATGGATATACCTGTCTCGGTTTTTCGTTATTTCGGGAGATACCTGTATGTCCAATGTACTCGATGCTTTATCAGCGAGGTTACGACGCGCCGCGACTGGCCGCACCTACGTTTATTCCACTTTCCTGTCTCCCTTTTCCGCTATCGCTCTATTAACCCGGCGCGGTGCGGCTCGGCGCGTCGCGTCGCGTCGTTCGTTCGTTCGTTCAACGAAACTCGAGGCACCGAAACTGCTTTTACAATTTCCGGAAGCCGTACGTATAAGTAACGGTTAACGACCGGGAACAAATTTGAATCGTCGCGACGCAAGATCCGAACGGTCAACGTAACCTTGTTTGATTTCGCGTGGTTACGGTAGAACGCAACGCGGGACACATCGCCGGCCGATATTGGGCATCGCGTTTACTGATGTTGCCCCGAGTAAAAAAATATACAGAGCTCGACGGATATTCGATTCTTTTTTTCATTTTTCGGTCCCGAACTTCGTTTCGGTTCGATGTCTGAGCGGAGAAAATGAAAAAAATATCCAGCAGCTCGCAAAACGCAAAAGCGCGAGCCGATCAGCATGGATTTTGCGGAAACGAGTGAAGGGAAAAGGAATGTGCCGCGGTGCTGCTGCCTTTGCAATCAATCCCAGCGTGGACTCAAAAAATTGCTTTAAGCGGATATAGGAATGGTTATATTCGCTCCTGTGATGTCGGGCGACAGAAAAACTGCGCGAAACGATCGTGCCTCGTCGTAAACTGCGCCAAATCCGAAATAACGTTACGGTTCTTGCCGAGTGAGCGGCCGAGATATATTCGCCTAAGCTCTTTCCACTCGTTTCGCGCACGACCCTCTGCGAACCATAACTTCTGATCGGGAGATCGCCTATTAAAATAGGACCCATCCTCGACCATTCTGGCTAACACGGTTTCCCATATCAAACTACGTATTCCGACTGATTCCTTTCAATTTAATTGCGCGATCGTGTGTAGAACTCGAATTTCGTACCGAGCGTCGGTTCTTGAAAACACTTTGGAAATCGCTCGAGCGATCCGAGATTCGTTCCTGCAATAACCGATGAAATTTTATCCGCATTCCGGCGCGGCGGCGCCGAGCCAGGTAAAAGTAAAGTATTCGTTTCGTCGAAGTCGACGTTTTTTATCGCTTTTCAATCCATAATTGCCAATATCGGGGAAAATGCTGTAACGCGATCTCGAGCGTCAGCTTCTCGGCGATCAGTTGATTGATCGCGATTTTCGTCACCGACCCGACCGAACACGCGCTGCACCTGAAAAACAACGCGGACACGCGTTCGTCAAAGTCTTTGAGGGTTACCGTTCGAAGATGAATGCACCGAAAGGGGACGACCGTCGGGGATTACGTAACTGGATTTACGAGGGAAATTAAGATTGATCTCTGGTCCAATTAACTGATTCGATCGTACCTGTACTTCATCCGATTAGCGTTATGGAAGGGATTAAACGCTGGCCAAGAATTACAGCCGTGGTCGGTTCTTTTTTGCTATTAAAAACGTATTAGAAAAGCTGAAAGTCGATGTTCCTTCTAATTGAACTGACTGCGATCAATTTTCGAATTCGTTCGTCTGGAATACAGTCGTCGTTACTGACAAAGATTAAAGTCCTTTCCACTCGAGTAAATTCTTACCAATGTTTTCATTACTGTCGATATTAATGAAGGGACTTTTTCTTGTGAATGTGATTTGCACAGATATAATTTCGAAGGCTGAGCGTGATTCCAGACAACGCCGTTCCCCGACGTCCAACTAAAGCGGTTAACTTTCAATACCGATACAGAGAATATCCAGAGAGGCTCGCGAGAGAGTGAAAGAGAGGAGGAGGAGGAGGAGGAGGAGGACGGGAAGGGTGAAAGAGATCGAGTGCCGAGGAGAGCGAAGGGGGCGAAGGTAGATGGGGGTTGTAATGGCAATTACCGGTGGTAATCAATGGACCTCGCTCAGACCGCGCCGATAATTTCAGGGCTGGTTGGAAAATAGGCGCTCCTATGTACGCATATATCCAACCCCGCTCTCCCTATCTACCAGCGAATGCCCATTCATTTCTCTTTCTCTCTTTCACCATCGCTCTGTCCCTCTTTCTCTCTCTGTTGCAAGCTTTCGAGCAATTTAGTCGCGCACGTAGGCTTCCCGCACCACCTCGAGTGTCGTTCAATTTTTAATGCCGCAGACAGATCGTACACACATCGGTTCAACTCTGGAGACTTGCTTGATCGAGAGATTCGCAGACCTCTCGATGCATCGCGCGCTTTTTATTTGCACGATAGAGTTTCGGAAACTAGGTGTCGTCGAGATACACGAGAAAGTAAGAACAACAGCTGCGAAAAACTTCCGCTCGAAAATGCTACAAATAAAACAGCGGTTAGTTAAATCTTTTTTATGGAGTGCACGCGTTCGATTTAAATCGATGGATTTCGCGTGTTCGAAACGGAAATTGAATACAAAACGGAAAAATTCTATCTAATGCGTCGTATTATTACGGGACAACGGGAAAAGTGTACAATCGGGAACAATCCGAGATTTGTCCCGCAAATATTTTTCAATCTGTAACGACTGTATCGAAATGTGTAATAATGAAAAATATGACGCTGTCCCAGGACGATTTCGGGATTCGTCGCTTAGCTTAACATACCATTGAAATGTGTGACAACAAGAGAGCGGCCGTTCGGTTTGTTTCGATGCGAGTTTCGCATGGTTTCGCGGACATGAGAGATTACCCGTTAAATAGATTCGTCCGATCCGTTATAATAATTCAAAGCGTTGTTACCGCGCGTACAACGCAGTGTATCGATACTTGGTCGCGCATACGATGTGATCGAGGTGATCTATGAGAATTATACCCGGTCGATTTAACGTCATAATTCTTACATTGTTATGGAAATTTCTCTTAACGCGGCTAATTACCGAAACATCGATCCGGTTCGGGTTTTCACGCTCCGTACGCTCGGATCGCTTCGACGAAACGAGGACGAATTTTTCACGGGTTAAAACGAAGACAGTGAAATTAAGCGAGAACGTCTGAAGCCTACGCGATTAGGCGAGAGCTGACGGAACCAGCGTTTAAAGCGTTACTCTCGTGCGTTCCTGGCTCACGGTGCGTGATGGAGCGCGTTGCCTAAACTGGGAAAGCGTTATAATACCTATATTAGCCCGGTCGATTCCTCGCATTACCATACGTTTCACGGTAGATTCGCGTGATGGAAGTCTTCGCGTCAATTGCTAGTAGTCCCTCTATTGAGAGAAATACTGCGGCGCGGCGCGTTGATGGTAGGAGTTACTACGCTATTAAGTCAGACAACTGGGAAGCGTGTTAAATTTCAAGGGAATGGTTCTCCAGTAGTAATAGCCAAGTGGTGTCAGACGAGCAGGAACGTTATCGCAACCGGCGGGAGAGGGATACGAGCAACGAGGGAGCGAGAGAGAAAGAGAGGCTAGGATTAGGCACGGGTCGGACAGGCCAGCTTTAAGATCCGTCGGAGTAGAAATTGGAGTAAACTCTCTCTCCGGCTCATCGACGTGCGGACCTCTTTCCTAGACCTTCGCTCCATTGATCTTCGGCTTTGATCAGCCCCGTGAACAGGCCTCCGTCTTCCGCTACGCTCTTTTTTTTTTAAATATTTAAGGATCTATCCGGATTAAACGCGGACGTCCCTCGTATCCGTCGCGCTCCAATTAACCCCACGACATATTTTTTTTTTTTCACCTCTTGCTTCCCTCGCTCGCGAAATGTTGTTGCACCCGAACCGGGCCACTGCCACTGAAATAACCCAGAGTCGAAGATAAAACGGTGAGCGCGGTTAAGAAATTCGTGGGGGAGGCGAGAGTTGGGGGGTAAATCGTATCGGGAACAACCCACTGACCTAGCCGAGAAAGAGGAATCGAGCAGATTGCTCGCCGGTTATAGAGATCCTGGCTCGCATGTCCCCGCGGGCTAGAGATCGCGCCTCGAGATGGCATCCACAAACCGAATTACATGTCGCGAAAAAAATTCGCTTATCGTTCCGGCTCTCCGCCGCACGAAACGATATCGCCCACGCTTTTCCCCGCGAAATTATTTATTTTTTTCTCGCGCACGTACAAACAGGAAAATATTCGTCCCGGCCGAATTGGACCGACCGTATCCGCGGACGAGATAATTTCTTTCTGGCATTCGAACGACGAAGAACCGATCTCCAGAAAAACATTGGGAGGTAAGATAGGTGGGTACAGGTGAACGACGGAAGCTGGTTGCACGCGATGTTCCAACAAAGAAGAGTCACGGAGGAAGAAATTGGCCCGGCTGGAAAACCGTCCGCTTTGAGCTTTGAGCAAGGTATTTTCATCAGAAGAGATTGGTTCCCAAGAGTTCCTAGATTGCGTCCGTCCACTAGATTTTCCCTCGTAACCAGCGTCCTTCCGTCGTCCCCTGCCCACCTTTTTATCGGTCATTTCCCTTTCTTTCATATCCCGCGCTCTACTCCTATTGCCGATGATACTCGCCGTCCCGTCCCGTCCCCGATACGCGCGTATCCTTGTACCCGCACCCGCTCCGAGTCCGGACTCCTCTTTCTTAGCCGGAGGGAAACGGAAACTCGGGTTGCCGGACTAGATCGAATTTTCCATTGGCCCAAGGCGATTGCTTTTCCGCGGAATGGCTACCTTTCGAACCTTTCGACTTCCGTTCGCGTTCGAAAATTAACTCCGCCATCGTTGCGTACAAAGGAATAAAAATCGGTGTATTCGCACGATGGGAATATACGCGGTACGGAATCGAGTGTCATATCCACCGGAAATTCTGTTTTCCGTGGCACGCGG